TTCTTATGTTCTTATTACTACAGACATGACCCTCCCTCTCGCTAGTCTCTGATAAAACAGTAGTAGTGTAACACCAGCCCTAGGAAGCTACAGCTCATAGGTTCTGTGACATTGGCCACTGTTACACTACTAATACCCCACTGTGATCTGAGGCCACGCTCTTAGATCTTACTACTTCTTAAGATATTAACTTCAGAAGGAAGTGAAGGTTGAACAGGATGGCCCCCAGCTTGTCTTAGCTTCTTTTGCTTCCAGAGAGGCCACAAATGTGCCACTTTACCTGCGGAGCCAGGTGACTCTTTGAAGGACCAGCAGGCAGACCTCAGCCACCAGAGTTTCTAATCATTTACCCTCTATTCTTTGGCTGAAGATGTTATCACTCCTACAGCCATTATAGTGCCTCCCTCAGTCCAAAGTGGTCTTGTCTGTAAATAGGTCATTTTGGAATAAACTGGCACAGACAAGAATGAATAACCAACAACTAATATCCAGCAAAACCATGCATCTGGGCTGATAATGCTCAGAGACAAGAGGCGGTATGATATTTGCTTAAGGAACAAAAGTCTGCTGCCACTGTAATAACATTAGAGAGGGCAGGAAGTCTGGCATTGAACATAGGGGCTGGCCAGCTGTATATTAAGCAACACAAAGCCACAAGAGAAAGTACAGCAGCCAAAGGAGTAAAACAATAATCTAACAAAAGAGAAATAAAGACTCCTAATTAATTAAAAATTGGTCATGAGCAAACACACCCTGCTACCCTCTTACTAAGCCAATCTGTTCAGTTTCATACAGAGTTGGGGTCATTGTCAGGATCTCTTGAAAGAATACGTGTGTATGACTAGAGTTTATACCAGGGCTGTTCATATAACAGTCCTCAAAGTCCAAGCCCTGCTGATTCTCCAACCTTCCTTTACTTGGGAACCAGGCATGAAGCCTCTGTGGCCAGTCAGAATCAGTAATTATTAAACTAACTGACTGGGTGAACTGAAAACAAGGTCTAGGTTTTGAATCAAGGTCCAAATTTAAAGAGCCCTGGTCTGGAGCTATTAAACTGAGGCAGGTTGCATACCTGAACCTGACCCCAACGGTTATCTTTGATTATAAGTTACTAAACTACACTCCCCTTCCGGTTTGCAGAAACTTCTGAAGGGAAAGGAAGTGAGTACTCAGTGTTGGGCGGGATTATCGCTATATAAATCACAGACTTCCTCTTCGTCACTTGGTTTGTTCCTCCAAGCTGCCTATTGGCCTGAAGCACTGATTGACAGCGCGCTTGTTCCCGCCCACTGGGGGGGGGGTTTCGGGTGAAAGCTCGGTTATACAGACCTCCGCAAAGACAAGTTCGGCTCGGGGGGAAGCTCGCCGTTTTGCCGCAGTTATGGCGGCTCCGCTGGCGCAGTTTGACGAGGACTGGCAGGATTTCAACGAGTTCAGGCCGTTGTCGGAACCGCAGAGCTGTCTGGATGCGGTGAACTGGAACGCCGGCGATGTGCCGGGCCTGCTCGAGGACTTTCCGGAGCTCGAGGGCGGCCTCTCGGGCGATACGGGCAGCTTTCAGTCCATGGAGGATTTAGTGAACAGCTTCGAAGAGAAGCTCACCGTGTGTTTCCGAAACTACAACACGAACACCGAGAACATTGCCCCAGTGAACCCTATAACGGAGGACAGCATGCTGAAGGATGACGAGTGAGTGGCCGGCAGTCGGGGCCGCGGGCTAACGGCTAATAATAATAATGATACAGGCTGATAATTGCAGGCTAAAGGCTAACATTAGCAAAGAGTCTGAGAGGTGACCGTCCAATCCCATATAGCGTGTCCTACATAGCTAGCTGACAAGCTAAAGGCTAACGCTAGCAAAGAGTCTGAGATGTGCCCATGTAGTCTTACTAGTGTTATAAGCCTATAGCTAGAAGGCGAAAAAGTAGCTGTCTGGTCGGTTACTCCTAATAATATTTTTGTGATGAAATATTAAATTTTTATGGATACTAAAAATTGTTTGCATATTTGAAGAGTTATATATTTATTCAGAATCTGAATTCTGACATCAGTTTTGCTGCCCAAGAATTGCTATATTGTTAAGATGGAGGATGGTCATTCCCTTTGGAAAAGCTCCTTCAAAATGCGCCTTTTATTTTAACCAAGGCTGTCAGACTGGGTCGTGTTCGATCCAGTCCGTGTCTGTCATTCTGATGGGTTTGGTCGTTGATGGTGTTATCAGTCCTAGTCTGCCAATTTGAATGCGAAGCGTAAGTCTGTGTTGGAGCTGGCTCTGTTATTAATAAGAGCTTGTGGGATGTTGTGATTCAGTTTCTGCTAAGTTTGGATCGGCTGACAGACAAACCGGAGGATAAGTCTGTCTGGGTGTGGAGTGAATTTCCCCCTACGTGTGGGTAACTTTCAGCATGCTGTGAGGAGTGATTGTTCTGCAGAGGGCAGCTATGGAGATGTGAGCTACAGAAATATGAGGATGAGTTGGGGAAGGACTTCTCAGGTGTCTGCCTGTGTGTGGAGGATAACATGACTAAAGTGAGTTTGCAAAATTTCAGCAGACAAGTATCGTACATGCCGATTCTGTTTTGCAAATTGTACTTCCTCCAGGATCTGGAATGCACTGACTGGTAACTATGGCAACGTGATGCCAGTGGACTGGAAGACATCCCACGCTCGGTCCTTGCACCTCCCTACCCTCAACCTCACGGAAAAGGGGGTGAGTGAGACCATTTATTTTGCAAGATCCCGTCGCATTCTGGCCTGAGCAGATGGCTGCTCAGAATACTGGTATTTTCCTAAAACACAATAATTCTATAAATATGCACCATTTCCCAAAAAACTGATATGGATTCACAGCCATTACACTCAGGTCAGTGGAATGATGGACTGTTCACTCTCCCATAATCCCTCAGCCTAATGAGATCCATCACTGTTCCTAGACCTGGGACTGTCAAGAAGGGCCATAAACATGCAGAATGACATGCAGGGGATTATCTGTAGGAAGCAGTCATGCCCTCGTCATGCTGTCGTGGATGGACCTTTCCAAGGAGTATTTAGTGATAAGGGACTAGTTTGCTTGTGCTCTCTGCCCCTCAGAAGTCGGAATCCGTGAACCTGGACCTGTCTGATGATGAGGAGTTGCGGGAGCAGCTGGACATGCACTCCATCATCATCTCCTGCGTCACCGACGAGCCCCTCTTCACTGCTGAGCAGGTACGGATGGTGCCTATCCCGTGTGCATCTAGATCATGCCCTCACGCACATTCAAACATCTGGGCGTTTTCTAGGTGATTGAGGAGATCGAGGAGATGATGCAGGAGTCTCCAGACCCCGAGGAGGAAGAGAACCCTTCTCAGTCAGACCTGTCCCTGCTCTCGCAAGAGGGTCACTCGCTCCAGAGGTCCTGTACGAGCAGCAGTTATGAGGAACGTAAGTGTGCTGTTCCATCTGAAATCCTTTTGCCTGAGTCTCTTTAATTTACTTCTTCAGCACCATTTTTCTTTTATTTTTTTAAAATGTTTTAAAAATGCGTTATGTCATGTTAATGTAGTGTTGTCAATATCATGAGTAATGTCTTGCAATACAATTGTTTCTGCATTTCAGCTAATCCTAGCCTGCCTTGTGCAGATTTGGGTGCTTTACTTTTAATGACTGAATGGGTCTGGTCAGCTTTATTCTCTTTATAAGGTTATTCCCTTAAGATGCAGTGCTTCTGGGGGTTTCTCTGCATGTTCTCTTCTGCTTCCCGCTCACCAAACATGTCTCCTAATAGGACTGAAGCACATGTCAGTGGCGGAGCTGAACGAGCTCTTGGAGGAGGTGGAGATGGAGATCAGGCAGTACTCGGAGGAGCTGATCCAGCAGCTGGCGCTGCGGGACGAGCTGGACTTTGAGAAGGAGGTGAAGAACAGTTTCATCAGCGTGCTGATTGAGGTGCAGAACCGGCAGAAGGAGCATCGGGAGCTGCTGAGGAAGAAGAGGAGGCTGCGTGGGGGAGGGGGCCACCAGGGCCGGGCAGAGAGAGCACAGGCACCGGGGACGGTGAGTCCTATGGGGGGGGTCCGAAACGGGGAGAGAGCACAGAAACAGGGGTGGATCCAAAACAGGTAGTAGAAGGAGCGTCCAATGCTGTGGCACGGGTGAGGGGTCATGGGCTCACCCTGGGCGTCGACCCTGTAGATGACACTCCTTTCAAAGCACGTGATGCAGGCATAGCTGTTGGCGTGCTGGCGGGGGTGTTCCACTGAGAGAGTGAGACTGAAGGATTCTGGGGTGGCGGTGGAGGGCGCCCTCTCTGGGCCTCGCTCTGGTACTGCAGAGTCCTCCTCAGGGACCTGGCTGCATGGCTCTTCTCACAGTCTCTTCTGCCAGTTTCCTACAACCTCCATTTCCTCCATCTTCTGTGTTCTTGCTCCATGGTCAGCGGCTGACGTGGCGCCGTGGTCTGGCAGGCGTTGGAACCTTCCAGCTTTTCTTAGGAAGCCGTCTCTGGCTTTGGGGGGAGGGGCTCATAGCCTGCGAATAATGGTGCCACCCCTCCCAGTGCCCTTAGCCTACAGGGAGGCTTTGGAAGCTGCAGCGAATGTGTTCCTTGTAGCTGTCAGCTTTCACCCACTACTCAGGTGCTTAGTGGCGTAATCGGGGGGCAGATGCCAGCAGATCACCCCACCACTAACCCACCTACCATACTTTCTTCCTGCCTCGCTGTCCTCCGTGTCACAGCTACCTGGGTGTTTGTGGTGCATGCAGTGCCCCCCCCCCCCCCAAACTTCACCCTCCCATTCTGATGCTGAGTGGAGCCATCTGCCTGCCCTGCATTTGAAGTCTCACACGCTCTGTCTCTCTCTCTCTCTCCCCCTCCGTCCTCCTGTCTGCTCCTGCGCTCCTCTGTGCCTCCTTCCCTAGCGCTTCAGCATGGAGGTCCTCTCCACCGCCATTCAGAATGGCTTCCGCCACACGTTCGGCAGCGCGCTCGGGGACAAACAGGTGCCCCCTTTTCCCTGTCCGCCTCTCCCTGTCCTCCACGGCACCTGGCGTCTGTCGTTCCCGGTGCTCACCTGCCTTTGTGTTTCTGTAGTACCTGACCACCGTCATTCCCTATGAGAAAAAGGGGGGGCCTCCTTCAGTGGAAGATCTTCAGATTCTCACCAAGAGTGAGTGCTCCTCTCTCTGGCCGGAAGGCCGGCTTTCTGCCCATTGCTGCCTCCTGTCTCTTTGTGACTGACTGACTGAGCTTCCACGCCCATCTTTGCGTCCCCTCAGTTCTGCGTGCCATGCGGGAGGACAGCGATAAGGTGCCGAGCCTCCTCACAGATTACATCCTCAAAGGTAACGTTCCTGTTTCTGCTCCTGCAGAGCTGTGTTTGTCCTTACCTGAAGATGAACTCCGCTGCCCTCTGGTGGTTAGGTGTATTACAGACCAGCCTGATCCTTCGGCCCTCTCCCTCCTTTGTAATTATCTGGGAATTTCCCCATTTGTTTAGCCTTCATTTGATGCAGTTTCCCAGTTTGTGGCTCCACTGATCCATGAATTTAATTTTCCTTTCTCTTCTTTGCCTGCATTCCTCATACTAGCTTTGGTGTGAGGGCTGTGGAGTCAGAGGTTTGTTAAACAGCACTATGAGTTCCTGTTATTAGAATGCCCCTCCACCCCTACTGGCAGGGTGTGGTAGTGCAGCCTTTGTGTGTGTGTAGGTGTGTTTGTGTGTATTGCACTGCTTCATTCCTGCACTGCGTCCCTTTAGCTGTGCCACCACAGAGCACTGTTCTCTCCTCTAGTGCTGACTTTTGTTGGCAGAGCAGATTTTATTTCCAGTGGTGTGGGTATGAACCTCTGCCATGTTTATAATCATTTCTGTCATATAGTCCAGGTTTTCTAACGTAATTCGGACCGACCTGCACAGGTGCTGCTTGTAGTTGATATCTTCTTGGTTTGTTGATGTGTCTTTTTTGGGGTGATGTCGGCACCTAGCTGGTCTTTCTCTCACACCTTTTATCCCAGTACCTGAATGTGGCTTTTACCATCCTGTCATCTTCTCTCTCTTTCTACACAGTTCTGTGTCCTACGTAGACCAGGCAGGAACACTGAGTGCATCCTGAACCTTTTACCGGAAAGACTGAACCCTGACAAAGCATTTTGGAAGCGTGAAGCGAAAGACTTGACCTTCCACGGCGACATGCATGGCATTCTACACATTAACAACCTTTCATGCGTAATATTTTATCTTTATTTTTTATGTTTTCTTTTTTAATATTTTGTGGTAGCTAGTTCAGATTTTAATTGTCAGCATGTCCTTATGCTGTTGGCAGCATTGACTTCAAATCCGCCTGATTCTAGACGAGCTTCTGAATCCTAACATTTAGGGGAAAGCTTTCGAAACACCGTGCATCTGTACAGTTGAATGCAGAGGCATTGAAGATGTGATATTGCAGCACTGGCTTTTGCTGCTCTGCCTCAGTGAAGTACACTGCACTATGGGTACTCATGGTTGAGACTGGTCCCCATCCTAAGAGCTTCTGGGCTGGTAACTGTTTGATAAGTAAAGCTGGGTGACTGGCTGCATGGGCTCACAGTCAGCTTGGGCCCTAGGCATTCTCCGTACAGTCACCGTACGCTGTGTACACAGCCTAAAACGAATGACGCGGGTAGGTCCCGACAGCCACCATGGCAGGATGTGGTCTGACGCGGTTGCCATAGTGATCACACGAAGGGGCTGATCTTGTGCCTTTCTGGCCCCTTATCAGCCCAGCCAAATGGCATGGCCATCCGTCCATCATCTACTCCTTTATCAAAACACTAAAACGTTGCCTTTACTGCCTGTAATTTTGTACATAAGTCATTGTCTAATTTGTGGCTAATTTATTCACTTTGTTTTGTAACTCTATAGCAGTACATACATTTTGTATCCAACAAGCATTAACTGAAAATAAATGAGTAAGAAACATTAATTGGATGTGGTGTTTTTAGGACTCTGCCGTGCCTGTTCTTACTGCTCTGGTTTCCTGATATTTTGCTGTCTGACTACTTGGACTGTCTTGCAGCATTAGTGTGGAAAAAAGCAGGCAAGAAGTAATCTCTTAAATTCTACTAAACTGCAGTACAACTTATTTGATCATCGCATTCAGGATAGAGTATAGTGAGTACTTGTCTTCAGGCTAATTGGCAGCTACTTTCTTGCTCCTGAGTGGTTTTTTTGCATGTTGAATAGCTACATGGCATGAATCACTGAGGAACTGCCTCCTTTCCACGTGTAGAACAATGTGCAAGCAACTGTATAAAGTGATCTACAGACAGCTTATGCTGGTGAATAATAGGACATAAGAGCAGTCAGGCAAATTTTAAAACAAAGCTAAGTTGTTGGACAGAATGGATTTCTAAACAAACCAAAGTATGAATGTTCAAATAGTCCATCCACATGCTTTGCATTGCAACTCCAGAGCACTTGGGTTATGTTCCCACCGAGTTGTAAATTTACCTTGAGGTGCATAATTTACAAATCACCCAAACACACACATGGTGGTTGGGGACAGTCTTTTGTAGGGATGCTGAACACAGCACCTGGGAGATGTTCAGTTACGGATATCCAGAGACATGCAGCCTAGGGCCAGCAGACAAAGGCTTCATCTGAAGAACAGGAAACACATGATGCAGCAAGACCGGTAGGGTAACAGGAAACCGAGAACATAGGAGCAGATCACATAGTAAGACATTTTAATGAAACAAGAATGGCGTCAGTCTGATTACTAGAGCAATGCGCAGCTTATTACTTTACTAGGCAAACAGAACTAATGTGTATATATATAGTCTGGCCTACTTTAAACACTGGCCATTTTTGGAAATGTCCTGTTGGAAACTGAATGTCACAGCATTAAGTCATTAGAGGCCAATGTATTTAAGTGGTGTTTGTCAACAGCAGAACACAGATTTAAATCACATGAAACGTGCCAGGTGTACCTGACACTGCATTACACATCTGTACACACAAACTCACAAAAGCCAGACCATGATAATGTTCCTGCTTGCTACCCATTTTTTTAAACATCAGTTGATCAACCTGTACTGGATGAAGTCATGAAGACAGTCTCAGTCATGTACTACAATAGTCTGAGGTAGGAAAGTTACAGCGAATTCCTTATCTAACTCTTCACACAAAAGCCAAAAAGTGATTACTTAGCGAGTGACAAATTCACAAATGGAAATGGCTTCTTCGCAAAAAAAAGGCCCATCTGCCACCCAACACTTTAAATCTTACTGAAGTATTCGCATACATATGGTCACCAACTGAAACAGCCCTAAGAAATTAGTCAAACAGCAAGATTAACTTTATATGTGATATTTACAGGAAGGTGGTCTATCCCCATCTCATCAACCTGTATATACATCATAATAGCATTAACATTTTATATCGAGTGAATATTTTGAATAATACTAATCTTACCACTTATTTGCATACACATTTGTCTGAGGTGAGGTCATGACAAGGAAAAAGCTGACTATGAAAAGAAAGCCCAGTACCCAAGCACATAGAATACTGTAGTACACGGGCGATCTGTACATGGCGTGATGGCCCGACGACCCCAGCACACACACACCATGCACATGAATCAGCTGCTTATGATTACATCCATACTTCAACCAACATGATCGACACACAGAGTACATCATTTAGAAAGCCAGAGCACTTTCGTGGGACGGAAGGTGACCATTTACAGATAGTTGTAGCAAGTACTGGTGACAGTGACACATTAATAAACACAGACATGGCCTTTACTCACACACCAGGCAAAATCCACTGCAGGGGGGCGGGGGGGGGGCAACCCAGACTTCTTACAGACTACCGTCAAGATGGCATATGAACAGTTCTCAAAAAAGGTTACAATTAAAAAAAAATTATTGGAGAAATCAAATCTGAAATTCAGCTTTGCTCAGCTTCCTAACACACATACATACACGAAATGTCAAGAGTCGTTTCAGGACTGATATGCTGGCATCACTTAAATAAACGATCACAACCACCACCACTCTGAACCATCCACTGACTGGGAAACCGTAACAACAAAATAACCATATAACTATACATGTATACGAGTAGAAACTAGTGCTTACATTTTGTAAAAAAAAAATTTAAAATAAAACAAACACATGCTTATTCCTTCAGAGTATAGCCGTTCCAGAACTGGGTTTGAGGTACACTCTTCATTCAAGCTCAAACTAAAGAAAGAGGGAGAGAGAGCCAAGCAAGAGAGGAAGGGGCCATGCTGACATCACCACCCGCAAGACGGGAAAACACAGAGTCCCACAAACAGCGGAGCCACACGTCCCCAGGGCTGTGAACAGCTCGCATCTCCCGAACTGGACCAATCAGACACTGAGCAAGTCTTGGCCTTCTTAGTCTGATGCGCCCAATCATTCTGAGATGGACAGAGTCGTGTAGCTTTGAGATCCCAAGTTAGAGAGGACTGCACACCAACCAACGCGAAAGGAGGAAGCCCGCTGGTCCGGGGCCTTGCACAGTACATTCATGAGAGTGTGTGTAAAAAAGGCACCAGGCTGGTTCTGGTGTGCCATCAATGCTGAAGCACATTTCCTTAGGAAACAAGCAAACCTCACTGCTGAAAACAATGAAAAGGTCACCCCCCCCCCCACCCCCCAACCCCAAACCGGGCTGCTAGGGGGAGGGGAGGGCCGGGCCGGGCTGTGTGTCGCTGAGTGGCTGGGTGTCTCCTGGGGGAAATGGCACCCCCTTTTGGGTGATGTGGAGCACGGGGAGGGACAGGCTGGCTAGACCTCCGCAGCCTGCAGACCCATCTTCTCCTCCTCTAGTCAATCGGTGCTGGGCTTTTTCAGCGAGAAGGGGAAGATGTGGAAGTGTGCGCTGAGTTGACGCACCTGGGGGGGGGGGGGGGGATGGATGGTCAAAGGGAGTGCGGCTTTTAGTGAGACGCACTTCTCGACGACAGAGTGGCGAGAGATATGGCGGAGCAGAGCAGCAGGACTCACCACGGACACGCCATAGTGGATGTGGCCCAGAAGCACCAGCCCGGTCCAGACGTGCAGCACGAGGCCCTCGCTGTGCTTCAGGACGCCCGACGCCACCAGCAGAACCAGCAGCACCATGGGCAGCAGCAACCAGCTGAGCGGCTGGCAGCGCGTGTTGCTCATCTGGCACACAATCAGCTTGCACTGCAGGGAGGGGTGAGGCGACAAAAGCAGGCAAATGGTTATGGTTAGAGGGTTCGGTTAGGGTGTAGAAAGGTAGGATATACAGGGTTATTTTAGGGTCAAGGTGTAGAAATGTAGGGTGTAGAGGGTTAGGGTCAGGGTGTAGACAGGGTATAGAGGGTTATTTTAGAGTCAGGGTGTAGAAAGGTAGGATGTAGTGGGTTAGGGTCAGGGTGTAGACAGGGTATAGAGGGTTATTTTAGAGTCAGGGTGTAGACAGTTAGGGTATAGAGAGTCATTTTAGGGTCATGGTATAGAAAGGTAGGGTGTAGAGGATTAGGGTCAGGAAGTAGACAGTTAGGGTATAGAGGGTTATTTTAGGACCAGGGTGTAGATATTTAGGGTGAGGGTGTAGACAGGGTATAGACAGTCAGGGTATAGAGAGTTAGGTTCAGAGTCAGACAGTAGAGGCCAGCAGAGTGCTCACTAACCCCCCAAACAGACCCCAGAGGCAAACTCACAGTGACGTTGGCGAAGGCTGTGCCCACCATGAGGTAGAAGATGCGGGGCTGCTGTTGGATGATATCATTGGGAGAGAGGCAGACCCAGAGGGTGGAGAGCAAAAAGAGTATCACCGGGGATAGGAAGGGCAGGAAGGCCTCATAGAGCGAGCTGTGCTTCAGGGAGTTGCTGCGGTAGGCCCTGCCAACAGGGGAAACAGCACCATCAACTGGAGAATCCAGGCATCACCGCTCACACACACTCAGCTGACCTACTGAAGCCTTTCAGATCTGAAATCTGAAATCTATTTTATGGGGAAACATGAAGATATACATACTTGAAGACATTGTAAAGGCTCATTGGGAGAGTTACTACGAACGCACAGCCTGAAAGGAGAGAAAACAGACATTTCAGTATAATAGTGGCACTTTCTGAAGATCCTGAATGACTGTGGACACCGGTGAGCTGAGCATCGTGTAGTAGACAGGCACCCAAGACGTGCCCTCGAGCCTCACCCAAGATCATCACAGTGAAGAGGTCTCTGTAGTAAAAGTTCCCATATATGGGCTTGTACCACGCCTCCACACCCACCACAGCTGTGATGATGTACACGACGGAGATGGTCTGCAGGAGGACAGCGACATTACAAGCATGCCAGAATCACCACAGTGCCCCCTGTGCCAGGCTAACACACTACTATCACTGGTACCATTTATTGTCATTGATTATTTATTGTTATTGTTTTGTCAAAATCTAAATGCGTTTTTGCTGTCTAAATGTTCGTCATGGGTTCCATGTCTAAATGGGTGCCATTGTATACCTGCAATTTCTTTCAGGATTAGTCTACCCATATATCCATCCATCTAACACCCAGAGGGCCTGCGGAACCGTAAAACCGGACAGCAGCACTGGCGTGATTGGCTCACCACTTGGCTGATGTCATATCCCCAGGGCAGGAACAACACGCCGGTGTTGTACTTCTCCCAGTGGGACAGGATGAAAGAAAACAGCACGGACCACAGGATATAGTAGAGCGTCAGCACATCCACTCCCGTGTTGCCACGCCCGAAGATGGAGTACACTGTGGACACGAAGAAGATGCAGGCCCAGCTGTCCAGGCCGTGGTCAAAGAGCTCCCCCAGCGGCGTGCTGGAGCTGGTCCTGCGAGCCTGTTTCCCATCCACACCATCTGAAAAGGACACAGCTGTTTGAGGGACGTCGGCAGACACAGGCGAGCCCGTGAGCACTGTACACTGGGTGGCACTACAAAGTGCAGGATCCTGACATGGAAGCTCTTTCCAAATGGGAACCCGGGTCAGAAGCTCGGTGCATCACACCTGATCCGGTCCGAATTGGCTCTGACTTTTTAAACCCTCATTTGAAGCGCGCAATAGTAGTGAAACATACCCAGAGTGTAAGCGATGAAGTTGAAGACTCCAGCTGCCACCCACACCCAGGTCGGGACGTGCGTGTGACCTTGGCCTGAAAGCAAACACAGTGATCTCTGTTACACGCTTTACATGCTTCACTGTATGCTTCACTGGGGATTGGGGAGACTGTCCTAACCGAACAGACGAGCGGCGTAGGGACAGGCACCGTCCCGCAAGTCAGTGTCTGCAGCGCTTATGCCCTTCCTCCGCCTTATCTGGCTGCCTTTAAACTGTGAACTTGAGTGACAACAGGGGAGGGACGCGGCAAGGGTACAAGAGGACAGGACACGTCATCGGCCCGACTCACCCGAGGCGTCGAAGTCAAAGTCGTAGAAAGCCAGCATGAGGAAGTTGAGCACCAGGAACATGAAGCCGGTGAACGTGATGAGGTTTGGGGCGAGCCATGTGGGCAATATCTGTTGGGGGGGAGGGTCACATGGCCACAGCTGAGTGGGACTTCATATTCACAGCAAGCGCCCAGTGAGCTATGGCCCTAAGCGAGACAACGAGGCCATTTTAGGCGGAAAGACACCCGTGACTCACCTTTACGACAGAGTTCCAGAACGGGTGCATGACATACACTGACAGGGGGTTGGAATCGACGGCGCTGTACTGTGGGGGGAGGGGGAGAGACAGTCAGAGGCGATGTCAAAGAGCAGAGAAGGATTTACAGGCATGAAAATGCAGGACAACCCCTCCGACACATTACCAGCACACACACACACACACGCACACATTTTGAAGTTCAATATAGATTAAAACAAGCAAGAAGTAATATTTTCTTACTGTACCATTTGCCAAAAGAAAGCATTTGTTTAACAATCTGTGAGGCTAAACACAAGACAAGGACAATACTAAACCCTCATTTTTCTTCCTCTCTCTCAAAGGAATCGTTTAAATTGGCCTTCGTTAATAATCCATACATAAAAGCATTTTTCCATTTAATGCCAGTTAAACATATGAAGAGAATATACTACTGCTCGTCGGGATAAGAACGGTAGTTGCATAGTAAATCAACACTCATACAAAACCCAAAGGATTCATCACATTACATATGTTAAACTTCTAATTGATATTTCCCAGTCAGGGAATGCCAAGCATCTTGTTTCTGGGGAAGTTGTGCAGTGAGGTGGATTAGGGACGTGTGCCAGTGACTGGAAGGTCACAGGGTTAAAATCCCAGGGTCAAAGTGATCTCATCACTGGGCGCCTGGGTGAGGCCCTTAACCCTGCCTTGCTCCAGGGATTGGCTCAGTCTGCTTCCTCAAAATCGTGCGCCACTCTGCATTAAAACCTCTGCCTAAATAAATGTAAAATTATCCATCCATCCATCCTCTATACCTACTTGTCCTGTGAAGGGTTGTAGGGGTCCAGAATGGCAGGGGAATAAGCCAGGAGGGGGCGCCAGCCCATCGCAGGGCACTCACACCATTCACATCCAAGGACAATTTAGCATGTCCAATTCACCACAGCTTGTTTTTGGACACGGGGAGAATATGCAAACTGCACATAGGTAAAGCTAGAGCGAAGACTCTAACCCTGGTCTCAGAGGTGTGAGGCAACAGTGCTAACCACTGTGCTGCCTCCTAAATATAAATTTACTTTACATTTAAGAAGTAATTATAACTGCCACTAAATAATAATAGATACTTCATTGATACCATGGGAAAATAGTCTTTACGCCTCCCCCAACTTGCACTGTGTAGAGTAAGCTGGCAGTGAAGGGCAGCAATCTGTAGCGGCGCCCAGGGGAGCTGGGGGTTAAGGGTCTTGCTCAAGGATCCGCAGACATGCTGAGGCTGGGTTCGAACTGGCGACCTTCGGATTACAGGCACACAGGCTTAGCCCACTGAGCCACAAGCTGCAGAATGTCCTACTTTGTCATTGGGAGAAATATGTAAATGTACTATATACAAATTAACGCCCGCTCCTGGCATCTTGCACTCGATTGAGAAATGTTACCTCCAAGCCACACATAGCCTGTCATGCCGGATACTTCAGCTGGTAAACCCCCAGAAACACGCTCCTCCAGTAAATCATTCAGCAAATAGGACTGCGTACCTCCAAATCGTCCATGTGTAACTCCATGTGGATGGAGGGGCAGCTGGATGGATGGCCAAGAGCCCCCCCCCCACCTCAGGACACTTATGACTAACATATATGATAGCAAGGCCACTTGAATCAGCTCGTAAGCGTACAGGAAGTAAATATACAACAAACCACAGAAATGAGCTGTAGACAAACAAACACACATATCCTTCTGTGCTGTGCACAGTGCAGAAACCGGACACTGAGTATAATACCCAACACGAGATCAGACCACTTGGGAGAAGCTCTCAGAAATGCTCAGAATTCCCCAGAAAGAGCTAAAAGGCCTGAAAAGACCAAAGCCAAACAGTGCAGACAGTATCAGTACTGTATCGAGATACCAAGAATTTGTTGAAGGGCATGATTTTATAATTCTGCAAATTTAGATTTGATGAAAATGTGCTATACATCTCTATTGCACATACAAAAAAAATGCTTTAAGAAATTCTGTCACACAGTGGCCTAATCTGCACTCTGTGCAGAGACACTCTGCTCATTTCAAGTGTCTCTTGTGCAGAGAAGTGACACAGACGGAAGATGGAAACCACTGTTGCCTACTGCTTGCCTCTAGCTGATATAGAGGGCAGTAGAGATAGAGTGAGATATGGCATTATTTTGGTTTTACAGTTTTTTTTTATTGTTTTACCACATTTCATGAAATTCTCACAACTGTAAGAGCATTTCTCAAAACAGCTTATGCATATATAGCACAACAGTGTGGTTAAGCTGCAAAAGGCTGCAACTCACCTAGAACAATTAACTCATGTCTCAAAGATAAATAATTCCATCATTGAATCACTCAGTGCCACTAAAATGAAAAACACTGGCTGATCATTCTTCTTTAGCAAATTGATAATTATTAATGTCCAACACACCAGTTTGAACTTCGCAAGGCTCTACATTACACCATGTAAAGTTCACTAACAAGAGAAAGCACTTGCTTGTACATGTAACTTCAGATCTCAAGATCTGCAAACAAAACCCACACTGCACTGTATAACCCAAAAACACACTGCACTGTATAACACAAAAATAGCAGAATAGTGACAAAAGCATGTACTATGATAACTAAAAATACAATTTTGTATCACTGCAATTTATGAAATATATTCTTGAAACAAAGTTCGGTGAACTGTTTTGCGTGTAGTGGCTTACACGATGATTGCTTGCATATATAGTTTTGGGTGCAAATTTATTACATGAGAACCTACATAGCCCATTTTGACCAACAAGACTTAAGCAGGTGAAATTTTTGCCAAATATAACCTAACATTATTGTATTTTCACTGTGAACTTAGCTGAGGCCAAATTAATATTAGAAAACATGCATTAAATGGAGTTTAATCTAAGTACATTTAATAAATAAGCCTGTGTTTAAAAGCAATATACGTAATGTTAAAATGGGAATGTTTTACTGTATCACTTTGGTATCTATACCAAGTTTCCAAAGCTGGTATCAGTATCAAACTCAAAATCCTGGAACTAAGCCAACTCTAGCGGACCGATCACATTAACTGACTGGCATGTGATGTCAGGCAGTGTGCATGAATGCTTAAAGTACTGACCTGTGTGTTTGGCTCAGGGTGGGGTCTCATGACAGCCAGTCACAAGCCACATGCCCTGACACTAGGCACATTCAGAGGGGGGGCTGCAAGTGTCTGAGCAACTGCTCCTTTTGAAGACATATTCTGTCTCTCAGTTCATACCCCGACAGTGCTCCATGTGTTCGATGTTTCTGTAATGCAACTAGTTCTGACATTCACGGAACACTCGATCCATTCACAATGGATCCCACCCCCCTCAAAGTGACTGACAGGGAGCACCATTTATGATGAAAAGAAGCGTTATGAAAACCGTTCGGAAAACCACGGTTTGGAAATACATCGACGTAAAAGTTGAATTTCATTGAGTCAAATCATATAAGCAATCATATTTAAATAGGATTACTTATATGAAAAATAATATTTTTAAAATAATGATTGTCTAATGAAAATCACAACATTATTACGAAATAAAAATGTAATGATTATACACAAAAAACAAACGCTGTGAAATATAATACCTTTTGTTGGATTATTTGAAAATAAAAGGACAATTATTGAAATATTTAGAGACATATTTATATATTAAATCCCATAATACACACACACACACACACACACACACATACACACCACACAGAACTTATAACACCCCACCAATCTAACATTTCATGTGGCATCTGTGAAAAGTCTCATCCCCCCTTGGGAGCAAATAGTACAGGTGATGATTGGCGGGGGTGACATTGTGATGGAGTACAGAAACCGTTAGTGAGTCACGTCCCCAAAAACAGCCCCGCGAGTGTCTCTGTGATGTGAAGGCATGCAGCTTTAAATCAGGACGTCCTCCAAATGAGCTTCTGCAGACGAAGCAGATGTGGGACGCAGCTCCAGACTCCACAGGTCCAAACTGCAGCACACTCAAGTCCCACAGAGACATGATCCCATGGAATAAGCCACTCCCCCAGCTCTCAGCAGCCTACAAACTCTCTCACGACACAGCAGACAGTGACGAAACACGAGGAGAGAGTGGAAAAAAGCGATGGCAGAGAATAGTTAAGGAGCGCGTGTGTGAGCGTGGCGAAAGGACAGCCACAGACCTCCAGTCACGACGCCGGCCGCTCTTAAATTAATAAGGCCCGGATCCCTGTCCCCGGATCTCAGTGACTTCACACATACAGAGTGTGTGCAGCAGGGTCAGTTACTGCCACATTCTGACGCACGCCCAGCTATTAAGAGACACTCAGGCCGTCTGTTTCCAGGACATAGCATCCTGCTGACATGAAACTCACCCCGCTCAAGGAGCCTGGGGTTACCTCTGGTAACAACTCACAGACGGGGGTAGAGAGCACTCTCAGCACCGAGGGGTCCCCTTCAGCTGTCTGCTGTGGCACATGACCTGAGAGCCAGTGCGTCTAGAGCCCACACAGAAGCTTTACTGACATGTTTTCTAATGCTAGCATGCACCACATGCCCCCCCCCCCCGCCCCATTCTAATGGGTTTTAAATGAGTTTATATGGCCCATGTGGTCAGAGCTGTGGCTGGGAAAGAGTTCAGTTCATGGCCATCACTGCATCCAACTGCCTTTACCAGGAAAAAGGTGAAAATGCAGTAGCTGACTTGCAAGTGTATTGCATTTACCAAACGGTAAACTGCAGGAAAAGGTTTACAAAAGGCTGCAGATTTACATATCTGACACCTTAACATGTGACACTTTTTCTGATCCGTCTTCCAAATAATCTTGAATAACACAAACAAAACTTATTCAGGTAGCAGTGAAAAAAGGCTAACCTTACTTTATCACGGCTCCCCTATACGAGGCTACCTTTAATAACTTGTCCTTAACTGTACAACTGGAATTAACTTTTCACCAATGAGACACACCCCTGAAAATCACGGGCCATATTTAACATAAAGCGAAAATATCCAAGTAGCACGAGCGACTGGGGGCGTTATGGCAGCGGAGGGAATGAAGCCGGAGAAACACCGTAAAGCACGCGGGACTGGGAGTCTCCTGATGTCAATCAGCTGGCGGCGAAGCGGGGGCAGACGGGCAGCCCAGTGTGCGGGTAAAACCTTAAACCGGTTACCGGGGCGGACACGATGTAAACCAGGAAGTTAAAGGAGACCGTCTTACAACCCAAACGCTTACAGGGCGATTGTGAATACGTAGATATTAGTTCGGTTAGTTCGTTACTACCTTATCAAACTGGTTATTCCAGGTACCCGTCAGTTAACACTTCAGCCAGCTGGCTAGTCAGAAAATGTACCCGCTAATTAACACCGCAACCGGCTAGTCATTCAAAGAAGGCACCAGCTAGTTAGCATTCCAGAAGGCTGGTTAGGCAGAAAATGTACCCGCTAGTTAACACCCCAACCGGCTGATCATTCAAATGAGTTATCAGCTAGTTAACACTGTATCCGGCTTGTGAGTCAGAAAACATATCAGCTAGCATAGAAGGTACCAGCTAGTTAATACAACAACCTGCTGGTCATTCAGAGAAGGCACCAGAAAGTTAACAATCCAGTCGGATGGTTAATCAGAAAATGTATCCGCTAGTTAGTCGAAAAGCTCCCCGCTAGATAACACGCTGGTTAGTCAGAGAATTTGTCACTAGTTAACACTCCAACCGGCTTGTCATTCAAAGGAGGTAACCGCTGGTTACCACTCCAACCGGATAGTTAGTCATCACATTTCAGCGCATGCTAACTGCTAGCTATCGGGAAGCCGACGGCGGGTCCAGTCACCTTATACTTGTCAAAGCCGGTGAGCTGCTCCGGGGTGACATACTCATAAAAAGCCATGGCGACTTGCTGTGCTAACGGCGAGGCGAAAGAGGAACGCGCTACTAGTGAAGCAGTCTTCCGAAGCAGCGCTCCGCCTCCTGCCGACAAGCCGCCGTGGTGACTGCGCTCCGCCGCGCCCTCGGAAGCACCTCCGGGGCTCGGGTGACTCTGCCGCGCTTTTGCCGCAACGCCATCAGCGGCTGGCGGGTGAACTTCGAATACACCTAGAGATTTTAAGCCCGATAATGATGATGATGACGATGACGATTTACAATTTGTACAAGAATGAGTACAATTTGCAGTAAAGGAATTGAAAATGTAAGGTATATATTTTCTTTGGATACTCCTTTGGGTAATTTCCTCCTATAACCCAGACATATAGTCAGGCTAATTAGTTTCTTTAAACACTGCAATGGATCAGTATTCCGTCCAAGGTGTTCTCTTACGTTATCATAGGTTGCAAGACTCACGTTGTACTCGTGAGACTCACGTTTTTTTAATGCTCATGGCCGTGATGTGCTTAAACAAAAAATACTCATAGATATGACCTGCTGTGAAGGCTTATCTGAATATACAAGAAAAATACATGCACCCTCTTCAGCAGGGCGAGTATGTCAGGCGTCTTTGCTGTTACCCCGGATAGTAAAATTTAGATTGTTGTTTACAGTTATATTTTGTCATATGTAGACATTATTGGTCAGATTATTGTTTTTCCAGTGTCTGTTTAACTGAAAGCATTATTATTACTACTAATACTACGACTGATAATAATAATAATAATAATAATATATAATAATAAAACAAAAGAAAAGAACATAATGAGTCTTTTTTAATGGCTCACAGTTTTCACCATAATGTACTAGTTCTGCATCACCCAACTCCCTGTTTTCACTACAGTTAGGTTGACCTGTATGCCTAATTCTGCTTGGAATAAGCTCCAGGACCCCCAGTGATTCTGTAATGGACACCCAATTGGAAGATTAATATATGAATGGATGATATATTCGCACTCTACCTTATTATACTGCATGAAAATGAGATTTGCCTCATTAAAACGGTGTTACATGAATAACAGACCAAGAACAGAACAGTGCATTCAGAGACATATGACAGTGTTATAAATTGCTAAATAGCAGGGGTGTCTTCCCATGAACACCACACTCAGAGCATCGACAGTAGAGGCAAGAAACTGTTCAATATTCCATACTTACAATACGAACACTCCATCAAGGACACACTCATGAAGACCTACATCCTTTCTTTGGTCAGCAAACTAATACTGTCTGGAGATCAGGTGAAAAAATGTCTCAAATGTAGTTCCTCAATGGTGGAACGAGCTACCAATCTACATTATACTGTCAGTACACCTCTAAACCTTTGAGAGACTCATCAACCTCAACACCTCAAGCAACTGGCCTAACCATTGTCTTCTCACTTAACCAGTCCTGTGCCCTGGGTGTTCTTATTTATGCACTTGTCTTTGATTTTAATTACTCTCTTATTAGGTTCTTGCAATTTTTTTTTTTTTTTTTACATGTCGTGTAGCTTTCTCAAGTGCAAATAGTACTAGTCTTGCACTGGAAACTTAGCCTAACTACATTTCTGCTAATTTGGCTCCTTGTTAGTTGCATAGTTTTCGGTACTATCTGCTTCACTTGTAAGTCACATCGGCTAAATAAATTAATACATGTAATATAATGAGACTAGTTTAAAAATAGTAGGAAAAACAGTTCTCCAAATTTTCATGCGGATACAATCACGAAATAAACATCTATTGTCGTTTAGTAACAAGACATATATTCATGGCAGGCTGCAGAAACGTGTATTTTATTAATCAATTTTTAATTCCCAATATCAATTCATTGATTAATCGTTTATTTCACCATAACTGCTACCCATTAAGCGTATAATAATTCTGCAGGAAGAGCGTTTGCGGAAGTGACGTGACGGAAGTGGATGTGCGCTAATACCATTGGTTCCCGACGCCTGATGAGACGTGGACGAAACGCAGTGAACTGAGGAGTTGTTTGTTCCTTTTATTTACAAATAATATACAGACAGCCAACAGAGTGAGTTTCTTTACATGTAATTTTATTTTTTGGCAATAATGACAGTTTTAAAGTCGCGTTTGCGCAATGGTGGCTGCACCTTCAGATTTATACCGTGGTGTTGGTGTTCCCTCATCTCCACAGGATGGTGACTGATGTACAGCTGGCCATTTTCGCCAACATGCTCGGCGTCTCACTCTTCCTGCTGGTGGTTCTTTACCACTACGTGGCCGTTAACAACCCTAAGAAATTGGAGTGATGCTGTATGGCTGAAGGTGTTTACCGCTCTGGCCTACGTGGAGTGCTATCTGTCTGAATTTGTCTGTAACGCTGTGAGCGCATGTAAATGTAAACCCACTTGTATCAGCAGAGACTTTCGCTTAATATACATGTTTTTTTTTTTAAAAGTGTTTTTCCTCTTCTTTTATTGCCAGGGTGAAGATCGGGACCATGTCATCGTGGAAAGATGACTTGCCTGGAGGGGAGACCTGTTTAAGCCAGTCTGTAAAGTTCTTTATTAAAGTTGTTTAGCATAAATGCTTTATGAATCAGTAAATTTTCCCATGTTAAACTGCACCAGTATGTATCCTTTAATGCTGCCAGCCTCCTGAGGCCCATCAAGTAGCTTATTGTATATGTAGCTCAAACGAGTTGGCTGTAGAAACCAGTCAGATTGAACAATTCACACACAATATATGTTACCTTAGTCGAATATTTTATTGCTTAATGTAAAAATAGTTGGGTCTAGGTACTGAGAGGATACACTTGTCCATCAAGGTACATAATTCTCAACATAAGAACTTGACTTAAGTTAAGGTGCAGAATGCCCTGTAAGGAATAGAACTGAATTATCAATAAGCACTGAGAAATGTGTGTAAAGCTTAATTTGAGAAATTACAGAGTGTTTTAACAATATTTTAAAAATGGCAGTTAGAGTGATTATAGAATCATACATGTAGAATAGCTACTGAGATCCGGCAACATGGCTCAAATATAAACCTGGACTGTTCTTTGTGATATTTTAGTAGCTGAATCTCTCTACATTTTAAACTAAGGCTACATATACTGCTACTACCAAGAATATCTTATTTCATCTGTAAAGCTGTTCCACCAGGGTCTGGGGAATAGAGTGTAGTTTGTTCAAACTCTGTCCCAGGTTAAGTCAGGCCTCACTGCACAAGGGAAAGGAGGCTGGAACAGAAAACTCCTTGAAGGAAAAACAAAAGAAAAGAGGAAAAATGGTTTTGGGGAATAGCTACTGATGCCATATTGTACTGTAGACTAGTTGTGAAATGCCCAGGTCTGGGTGTGTTACCTGCATTGAGACAGCTGTAGATTGAAGGCCTGGGTCTCCTTTGGAGACAGCATGCTGGGCTAGGCTGTTAATCAGGACCCTTGAAGTGGACATTGCTTTGCCAGCCATTGTGTAAAAGGAACAAAGAAATATAAACTTTAAGATTGCGTCCGATGGCCTTTACATTTATGGTTGCTGATGAAAAGGCGGCAGGTGGCAGAAGCTGCTTACCTTCAATAGGCTTCTTTTTGCTGGGCTCCTTGGTGCTTATGGAGCAGCCGGGCGCCTGGATGGGTCCCGTGTCTTGCCAGCGCACTGGTGGGTGGCACGGCCTCGGCTGCAGGTCGCACCTGCCATGAGGTAAAATAAAATTCCAGATGAATATGGGAAGTACAAATCCGAGGAAGGAAGCAGCATGAAATTACATGAGGCAGCAGTTGGATTACCAACTGGTATCAGAGCCAAAAGGAGACACTGAGAATTTAACACTGATTTGTTGCTGTGGGTTTCTAGCTAGAAGACTCAATAGAGCCACTGATATGCCCAGAATTAGACTGTTCAACAGAAAAGCAGATGCCTGCTAATTTCTCAGTTCATGTACCTTGTGTATTTGATGGACCACAGGGTGTTTGCTGAGCCATCTTTCGCAAAGCACTGGAAAGTAACAGAATTAGTGCTGGCGTTGCTTAAACACAGTACTCTGCTCTCTTCAGTAAATGCATGTCATACAGTGGCTTCTGTCGAGTTTGGCGTTCACTGCGTACCGTCGAGGAGGCCATTTCCACCTTCTGGGTCTGTGCTTGCTGGCTGACCAACCTCCTCCTCCTCATTGGAACTTGCTTAGTTTGCTGGTCAGCATGAAGATTTGGACAACTGCAGCCTGTGCAGTGGAGATGAAGCAGTGAGGAAATGTAGGCCACACACGATCATGAAGCACCCAGAACGATCTGGAAAAGACAAACCCTCAGAAGCAAGACATCTGTATGACATTTGGCTTATTTCAAAAACAATATCTGTGAAACCAGGCATAGTCAGTTTCATTACTCAATGTATTGGGACCTGTCTCTCCTGTTTCTAATTGAAATAGTTTTATGTCTTGTGAAGGTCTTTCGCAGCACTGATCCATACTGATGTACTGCAGGCTGGCCGTTGTGATGTCAATATACAGGTATTCAGAGCAAATTGCCCATCATCTTGTCCATTAGACACAGACTGACTTTGTGATCACCCAATGTTTCAATACATTGACTTTTTGGGTATATCAGCCCAGTGTGTTTAAATTCAGCTCTAAGAAAATTAATATCTGAGCCCCAGAGGTACAAGGAGCTGCTGGAAATGTTTCAGAACCTAAGTCACTGGAGATACAATTCATACATATTCATGAAGGTACTTTTTGCCTGAATTATCCTTAAAGTGGCTGCTTGGAGTTTTAGATTAACAAACCTGGATCTCTTAGTGAGGTTACATACAGCTGTACAAAATGATGTGAGAAAATACTAAACCCAAATACTGACTTTTTCAGTACCATGTTAATTAAGCATTAATTCCTGAATGTGTTCTGCAGAATGGACTAAAAACAGCAGCCATGTAAAATGTTTTCAAAATATTGCAGGATATAAATCTTTGACCCATTTATTAAAAATTTACTAGAAGTTAGTGAGGGAAGTAACAGAAGACAAGAAAGTGGTCAGAAAAGGGGCAAAGGTTAAAGTTTTCTCAGTCAGAAAGGGAACATTTATTACATAAAAGGCCAGACATCATCAGAAATATCAGACCACAGCATGTATAAAAGAAGGCAAAGTTGTGATGACATCAGGAGAAATGACGTCAGAGTCCTAGAGCTGAAATCTTCCCACGGTATGCTGAAAGGGCATGTGCTGGCTGCTGGAAGCAGAGGTGACCACAGGGCCCATCCCTGAAGCACCACCCTTAACTTCTTCCACAGTACATGGCTTGTTTTATGTTCCCAGAAAGAACATATGAGCCTGGTTATGCCTCCAGCAGGATCAGTACAGAGAGACCCTGTACTGTTCCTTTCAGGAACACGCAGCCACGGGGATTAAGAAACATGATAGGCTGAGGCTCGCAGCAACTTTAGCAGAGTTCACATGACAAATATTAATCAAATTAATGTAGAAAACAAACACACACTCCTAAGAAATGAGGTATAACTCCTTACAAACAGTTATGGCACAATGCTGAGGCCGGAAGCCGTACATATAGACCTACCCCGTCTTCATTAGTCGTATATATACTGTACATATATATATACATATAAAACAGTGGGATATTCATGCTCTACATCTGTCCTGACAGAAAGCTGGCGGTTTGCCTTCCAGTACAACATCCACAAAACGGATCAAACATCACATCACATCACCTGACCTTCTGAGATGTGGCCTAGCTGTTTGTGGAAACTTTACTACACTTCAATACCGAATGACACACGAACGTCACTCAGGACAACAGACACTACTGTCGGTACATCTGGTGGAGACACGTACATCACTGGTCTGCGCAAAGATCCTCTAAGTCAGTGTTTCTCAACCCGGGAGGGAGCTAGCAGGGTACAAACATGTGGACTGTCTGGCAGGGTGCAAAAATGTATATCTTCTTGGGTCCCCGAGGACTGGGCTGAGAAACAGGACTTTTATTCAGGTCAAGAATCGCTGTATGAGCTGTGGGAGTCTGTGTAAGAGGGTGACCACACAGCACATCACGTCACAGTTACTGGCCTCTAGCGTCTTCGAATGTTCAAACCTACCTGGTTGCCAATAACAACCCAGGCACAGAAACAAATCCAAAGTGTGCATAGCGGACCTGTGTTTTGACACATAGAAAACAGGTAAATGTGCTTCATCCCTACAATCCTTTTCTGCTCTGACTTTAGGCCCACAAAAAAAAAAGTAGAAAGTTTGCTGACAGATAATCACATGATGTGTTAATGTACTTGTACCTGTAGTTCGTAACGTGTTAGGCTGTTTTGTTCCAGCACGCGCGATTATTAAAAATACTGTTTAAAAAGTGCACACACAGTGTAGAAATACCAGCCACATGTACTTTGTGTATATAACTCACTGCTGGGTGGGCCTAAGGAGACGATGGCTGTGCTGAGCCTGGGGCCCTGCGGCACCAGCCTGGTGTGCGGTCGACAAACCGCACACGCGGTGTCTGTAAAATGCTTAAAAAGTGCAACGTGGCTAAACAAAGCTGAACTGTTTTGGTAAACTCTTAAAAAAAAAAAAAAAACAGTTAAACTGGTGTCCTACCACTTCCTAAATATAGCCAGTAATGTTTTTAAGAATTCCCCCTGATATGTACATGTTTACGGTTTGGGGAGTGACATGGTCTCTTGGGCTGATGGCACGATCATGTAGGCTGGCTTCAGGATGAAAGGTTCCACCTTAAAAACGGATACCCACAGTCGATGTAAGGCTACGCCACGTTTACGCAGAAAGCCACGCTGTTTCAGCAAGGCAGGCCTTAAGGTGGACCGAACCGGCCCATTTAAAATGCAGTTGTATGGCAGTGGGCTGGGTAGCAGGATGGGCCCCATGATCTTTATTTCAAGGTGTTCCGTCTGCGGTACGAGTCGGATTAGCAATCGGAATCACCTCTGGGAAACACAGGGCTCCGTCTGAGGGGCAGGTGAGCTTGGCACTGACCCTCAGCCCAGAGCTCTAACAGAAAAGCTGCTTAGCACCTGGGGCAAGCACTTGGCATCCTGCCGCCCTCAGGGCTGCCCTGCCCGAACACGCTCGCGTTCCTCCCTGCCCGAGCAGCCGGGCCGCTCCCTGACGTCGCTGAGGAAGGCCAGGGGAGGCAGGGCCTGCTGCAACAGGGGGCTCAGTGTCCGGCTCAGCGCCTTGTTCAGGAGGTTGGTCTTGGGCATGGCTTGCAGAGAGGGGAGCAGCTTGGAGAGGCTGGGAGGCTGGAGGGAGTAAAGGCCAGCCATGCTGAAGGAAGCGGGGATGGAGCAGG